AAGCTGGTTTGGACATTTCTTTGTCGGACATCACAGTTCCACCACCTTCTTATTCTTCAGTGGATCGTTATTATGAGCGTCAATCTTTTATGTCCGAAAGTTCTGAAACGTATCTGTTAGCTGGGGAACAAAGTGATTCTAGAAGAAATAGTTATGAAAGTACTTCTAGGGATCAACAAAGACGCGACTAGTCTATTAATTAATTGTAAAATTAAAGAGTTCATCGATTGGAGATTGATATTTATTTTATTATACGCCAAAAACAAAATTGTATTAGATTCTTATAAGTATTTCCCCTTTTTTTTCCTTTATATTTTTTTATATTTTTTTGTTTTTTTATTTTTGATTTTACGAACGATTTATTCATTTCACGGGTTAAAACAGTTCAGATTCGACTTTGGTATTCACACACATCAATTTTTGATCATTCACAATTCTCGGGTGGCTTTGTGTTTTGAGAAAGAATTACCCATTTTTCATTTGTATACTGTAAATGTATATATATATATAAAAAAAAAAAAAAAAAAAATTCATTCATTCTTTATCAGTTTTTGGATCATAAGTATTTGATTTATTTTAGGTTATTCGGTAAAAGAAAGAAAAGAAAAAAGAAAAAAAAAAAAATACACGATATTCAATGATAAATAGAACTATTTAGATTAATGATTGACTTATAAAGTATACAATATGAATTAAAGGTAAGTAAATATCTGTTTACAGGGTTTAGAAATAACAGATAAAATAATGAAAAAAAAAAAAAAAAAGAATAGTGATAATCAGAAGTTTAAAAAAAAAAACATTTCTTTTTGTACAATATATATATATATTTTTTTTTGTTGGACACTTTAATGTAAAATTTTCCTGTACAATGGAGAAAGTTATTATTTTATCAATTAAACAATTAGCATTTATTTAATCAGCATTAACGTACGTATTATTGTAAAATAAATATACTTTCAAGAATCAATGTCAAGTTTATTATGTTTGGTTATTGTTTCGTTTTCATCGAAATTATGAAATTTATCACGTGAAAATAATCATAAATTATTATTACGAAGCAATGTTAATTAGAAGATGAGTAATTTGGTCTGCAAAGTTCTATGGCTTTTTCCTCACATTTATTAACAAGGTTAGAATTATTTTTTATCCATTGTTCCAGATTTCCTTTGGCATGTTTGATGTATTCTTCACGCGATGACATTTTGATTTCAGTATTATCACATGTTGAAAGAATATATATTCCGTATTTCGAATCATATGCGCGATATTGCAAGTTTAATAAAATTAGAACGTTCTTTGGCTGGTTTAATTAATTTAACATTAGTGAATACAATTAAATCGCAACTAATTTAAATTAATAAATAAATAATACCTTTAATATATCTTCCAAATAAGTAGAAATATTTTTTATTTCAATTTGTGCTAAACGTCCACTGTTGTCGGTGACTAACAAAGTTTGGATTTTTACTGCTTTCCCAAACCTTTGTCCGATAGAGGGTTCTCCAACAACTGATTATGTTTTATTAGGGTCACATAAGTAAAGTTATAATCATATATAATGTATTGTATGGTACTTACTTAGAATATAAACTACTACATCCACTTCAATGTTCAATTCCTGCCTTTGAAGTTCATCTAATAGGGTTATAGTTCTCGATGAATAAGAAGATAATGCATTACTATTTGTTTCCACGTTTTCTTCTTTCCAGATGGTTGAACCTTTCGTTGAGGATAAACGTATAGGCGATAAAGAGGTAATCTGGTAACTTTGATTACTAGCCGTTGTTAAAGAATAAACCTTATATCTTCGCCCTTCTCTTATTGTATTGAACAATAATTCATCTGGCTGCCAAACATTGATAATACCCTCACATTTATTATTTGTCAAAGTATTAAGATGATAATCACAGACACGAACTTTGAAAAATGGAACAACTTTACGAGTATAATTTGATTTCTAAAGATGAATAAAGCTGAGTGAGAAATAATGGCGCTAATATATTAATTAATATTCTTATAGGATAGGATGTTCCCAAAATAACGATTGTTTAACATTTAGGTAAATTACCTCTAATTTATAATAAACCCAATCATTCATATGACTTGCTTTTTCTTGTTCCTTTTTTTGTATATAATTTTGAAGCCATTCGCTCTGTTCCGAAGACAAGTCCTGCCAGAATTTGGAAGGTTCAAGACAGTCTTGCATTATCTCATAAAGTTGTTCTCCAGAGGTAATTTTAGACATATCTATCTAGGATAGAAATTGGATTGTTCAATAAATTTGTCTGAAAAGGTAAAGGGACTAGAATCTAATTATAATACAACCTTGTATCATTTGTTTTTGGGAAATACCCTTTGACTTGTTATGATTATGCAATATTTTGTACTCGTTGATTAATGATTGGATTTTTATATTTACCCTAATCTAAATAAAATCGAAAAATTAATTAACTTACACACGATTAAAAGTGTCAATATATACATACTTACATCATGTTTATTCTTTGCATATTCTTCTTCTTGTTCGTTACGATTAATTATTGTACCATCTTTCATTGTCTCTCGAAAAATTATCGGGTATTTCCGCAATACTAAAATATCTATGGCGAAAATATATCCACCATCGGGACAAAGACTACGCAAAGTGGCATAAGGACAGACTCGTTTAAATCCCAATTTTGCATCCCAGTGCGCAAGTTTTGTAGAATTCGCGGAAAGTTTCAACCGAATGGAATTAGGAACTTCGAGAGCTGGTATACCTACAGGGCCACCTACAATCTAGTTGTTAAATTCGAAGAAACTTTAATTGTCATTCGCATTTAAAAACTTGAAATTAATTGTTCTGGATTTACTTTGGCCCCGCAAATTTCCACCTTGCATCCAATTCGTAATTTAGATTTAGAGATCGCTCGTTGAAGTGGTAAATCAATATCAGCTCGAATCTTATACCACATATCAGTTAATTCGAGGCTATAAGTAATTTTGTAAATATCTTCTCTAACATTATTTTCTAAAAAAATAATTTCCGACAATTAAATTAATATATTCGTTTCCAAATTTAGTATTGTTGGATGTACATTACCTGGAATTACAAGGGAAGTATCTTCCTCTATTATATCAGACACGCAAAGAATCATTGACATACTTGCAGCCGCGTCTCCCTCAATAATCATTTTAAGTGCAGATCGATGTGCGTTATTAATTTCCCTCTCATATCTTATATAAAGAACATTGAATATTAAAATGTCGCAATAATATTATTTAAGATGCTAAATCATTTACCTACCTATATCGTAACTGATCAAGTACTTTTTTAGGATTCCACCAACTGCGAAATTCATGTGGGAAAGATCGAACCATACTTGCAATTTTCCAAACGATCCATCGAAAATGATTACAAACCCAATTTTCGTTGATGAAGTCAGGATTTGCACCAGATTCAATCAGGCATGATAAAGCTTCATCAGGACCCCAAAAAGATAAACATTTCGTGTTATCTTGTGATTGTCCTTCAGGCCACGTAAATCGATAAAAAATGGCGTTTTTTGAAGTTATATTGATGACTTCTACGGGACTTTATTTAAAAATAAATCACATTTTTTATTATAAATAGAATTTATTTATTAATCGAATAACATATATATGATACTCACATTCCGAGTTTTTGTAAATATGACATAGAAAAATCAAGGGGATAATTAGAAACAACGTCCTTGAGCCTAACTCTTTTTAAAAGAGCTATAAGAATTCGACGACATACGCATTTGAAAGTTAGTCATTAATAATATCTAATTATATCAATTAGTCAGATTTCAACTTTAATAATTTACATGTTAGATCAAATAACTTTGTAATAGAATTAGATTCAGATATTTTAGATTGAGAGTTGTGAGATTCCTGAGAAACGTTTTGATGTAATCTTCTTCGCTTATTTGGATGCAAAGGATGTACAATATTTTTCGAAGATATTTTTGCATTCTTATTTCTTGATCCAAGCCGTGAATGTATCAAAGGAGTTTCTTTTAATCTAGACTTCGAGTTAGAAGACTGATTTTTGTCTAAATATATTTTCAGACTTTTACCAACGGCATTAAAAGTAAGTTCAGAATCACAAGGATCTTGAAATTAAATAATATTCGTAAATTATATAATAATGACAGTTTTCATTGAATTAAAATTAAGACAATAAGATATTTAAAATTTTACTTTACCGATTATATTATTCTGAAATTTTTCTTGTAAAATGGAACTTTGTCTTAAATCACCATCCAATACTTTTCGCGCTCTTTGCAATGATACATCAGATATATTGGTGATACTATGTCCATTTGCGGTAGAAAAACTAGAATCCTTCAATACATCATTATCTCTGTGAATTGATTTCGCAAATGTAATGTCATCTAATGATTTTCGTGCCTTATTTAATGACGTTTCGGATATAGAAGGAAGGCTGCGGCCATTTGCAGTAGAAAATCCAAAGCTTTTTGATTCACTATCATTACATGTAAACATCTCATTTGTATTACCATCCAAAGATTTTCTTGCTTTTATCAAGGAATCTTCCGAAACCGCAATAATATTGCGACTACCTGCGGTGGAAAATCCAGAATTTTTTGTCACATTATTATTTCGAGGCGGCATTGCAAATATATTATCACCCAATCTTTGTTTTGTCATTATTAAAGGAATCGCAGTAACGCCTACGGAAGAAATTTCAGAATGATGAAGCAAATTATCATTTGATGATGTGGTATCCGGCTTATCATAACTTTTTGTATTTGAATCAAGTGAACTTTCTGATGTCTCAAAAGTCGATAACATTTTATTAATAAATATGAGTAAATAAAGTAAATAATAAGTGAAAAAAATAATTTTATGATTAACAATAAATAAATAGAAAATAAACGCGTCTTTTTTCTTATCCAATGAAACGATAATCAAAATTTGTCGATCATTCATTAACAAGATGGATGATGTCACACACTATAATTTTTCAAATAATGTTCGATAATTCCGAAGAGCATTTACAATTAGAAGAACAAGACCTTTCAATTTTCGAGGTTTTATAATTATCGTTATTTCATTTGTTGTTGTTTGTTACTTTAATAATTAAAAACCAAAATACATTCATTTTTATCTAATAATCAGGAGCCTGAGGGATATTTACCTCCGCCTTCACAACCAACTTTTCATACGTTTTCACGCAAAGAAGAAAATGTATTACAATCTGGTATAAATAAAATTTTCAATTGAAATGCATAAATAAACGCACTCAAACATTTTGTTAATTAAATAGATAGTCATAAAACTTTTAGTATACGTTTAGTTGGATCACATCCATTGTGGGGACATATATTATGGAATGCGGGCAAATGTTTTGCGTGGTATTTAGATGAACATAAAGAATTGATAAAAAGAAAAAAAGTTTTGGAACTTGGAGCAGGCGGGGCCTTACCTTCATTAATAGCGGCTGTAAATGGAGCGGAAAGGGTAATTTTTTTTTTAAAAAGAAAGGAATGAATTTGAACGCATGCGAGATGCTATCGTTTCATTTGATTGTTATAAATTTTTTTCGTACCTAAAAGGTTGTTATTACCGATTATCCGGACGATGATTTGATAGGGAATATTCGACATAATGTAATTACGAATTTGAGCACAACGGATAATATAAATATATTGGTAATTATAAAATTTCTAGGTTAACTGATAAAATAAATTTAATTTATTTATTTTTTTTATAATTGATGACATCTTTAGGGATACATTTGGGGCAAAGATACGAGTCCCTTACTTAATACGATATCATCAAATTTATATGATCTCATCATATTATCTGATCTGATATTTAATCATTCTCAACATAAAGCAATTTTAAAAACATGTGAAGAATGTCTTGAGCCCATTAATGGACAGGTATTGGTTTTTTTTACTCATCATCGACCAAATTTAGCAAATAAGGACATGGAATTTTTTGAAGAAGCGAAACATTTAAAATGGAAAGTTGAGAAAGTCCATGAAAAGATTATGAATGTCATGTTTGATAAAGACCCTGGAAGTGTAATTGTCAGATCAATTGTTCACGGATACAAACTGACTATTAATAATTAATTAAAAGTATCAGAATATAAAGAAATACAGGGAATCATTTACAAAATAAAAATTTTTACCGAATGATGTAGTTTCATTTCCCATGTCTTTATTTGCGCATTGATTGTACCTAAATAAGATTAGGTAAAATCGGAGAAATGACCATTTTCATCCACTTTGACAGATAAATTAAACCCATTTAATAGTAACAAAGTACTAGTGAGATTTTTTATAACCTGATAAAGATTCGAGATATGATATTTATAAATAGAGTTCCTGTTTTTCGTTTGCTTTGGTAGGGAATTGAGACGAAATATAATTACATTTGGTAAATGACTTTATAGGAAAGGCAATTTATATTGATTCGGGTTAGCCATTTGTGGTTCAAAAACGCTGACATAATTTTTAGATGACGGGAATCTAAAAACAAATAACACGTTATTTTAATAGGCAAGTTCGATGAATATCTCACGCAGCATCTATTATGCAATGCAATCATAACCCGCACAGATTTTGGTTTACTCTGCTTTGTCTCTTCTCTCTCTCTCTCTCTCTCTTTTTTTTTTTTACTTTCTTTAAAGAATAAATATATACCAATTTTTTTTTTCTTACCCATGGATCCAAAAAACCCTAGCTATTTTTCAATTTCCAGCAATATAGACTACGATTTGGACGATCAAGTTACTGCTGATGTTAACTTGAACAATGTTAAACTCAATACATTGTCTGCGAGTGAACAAGAAAAAGAAGGTAATTCTATAATAAAAGTCTTTTATAAATTTTCATGCATAAATTAATAATCTTTTTTGTTTGTTTCAATATTTAGATGAGAGAATGTGGCAAGGGGTAAGAAAATTGTTATTTCAAAATATTTAATTCTTTTGATTCTTTTGGATCGCATCATATTTTTTTTCTTACCTTGTTAGATTTTTCATAGGTTCAAGCTTTCTTTTGCAATCGATACACAGAAGCACAAGAAATCTTTGCTGAAAAAGCAGACATCGATCCCTTATATGCTCTAGGTCAGGGATGTATTTCATTTTTAAAAGGTAGGTTGATATCGATACCATCTAATTTAATTTATTTATATTCGTTTCCATTCTTAACATTGATTCACCTTTTTAGCGGTAACAACTTTTAACGAGCAAGATATTGCTATAGCAATTAAACAACTTGTTTCTGCGGAATCCTTAGCTAGTGCACAAATAGGAGCATTTAAGTCACAATCAAGCGTAGGATCAAGTTTTGGAAAACTTATATCCAGTTTAAGTTACTTTGGAAATAATAATAAAAATCAACAATTTATGTCAAATGGACAGTTAAGAAGTACTGTTATTAAAGCTGAATCAATATTGTTGATAGCTCTTATTCAATTACTTCAAGAAAGTATCGTTAGTTATGTAAAAGCAGGATTGAATTTAAGACGAGGTAAACTATGTTTTTTTAAATAATAAATAAATAATATACATATATTCTGATGTTTTATTGTTATTACATTAATAGGTTATAAAAACTATGAAAGTGTGTGGAATGAAATTAACAAACCTGGTTTCAATGTACCTGTCGATTATCATACTCAAGGCGGCGTAGAATTCGGGTTGGTTTTTGATGTGTTTTGATCCAATATTTTATGAGCAGATCTCCCCTTTTAGAAAAAATAAATCAATCATAACTAATTGTGTATTGATCATATTTTAATTTTCTATTCCGAACCATGTTTAGTTATGGAACGTGTAATCTTGTACTTTCTTTTATGCCCGGAAAAATTATCAAAATTATATCCGCTATAGGTTATAAGGGGAATAAAGAATTGGGTTTAGAATTATTGAACGCGTCTTTAAAAGGAAGAGGAATTAGATCGCCATTGGCATCTCTCCTGTAAGTTAATTAAACATAATTAAATGTAAAATTTTTTTTTTATATTGTTTACAAGTTCATAAATTATTAAATTTTCTTGTTAATCACAGTTTTGTAACATCATATACAATGTTGACTTCTTTTTCGCCATCCACTTTGGGTCAAGATAATGTATTGAATTCAAACATATAACACGAATTTTGTAGTTATAATAGTTATAATTGAAATTTATTTATTTATTAAATTGTTATAGATTTAATGAAATTTGAATATATATAGATACCGAAAGCCGAAGAATATATTCGGGATGCTTTGAATCAATTTCCTGGTTCCGATTTCTTCACCTTTTTCGCTGGTCGTAATCTTCGACTTAAACGTGATCTGGACGCGTCTACTGAAGCATTCATATCAGTAAATCATAACCTGAAAGAAGGATTTGGTGTCGAATTAAGACGTTTATGTGACTATGAACTGGGGATGAACTATGCAATGACTTTACAATGGGAAAAGGCTGTGGAATGTTTTGATATACTTGCAACTGAGAACTATTGGAGCCCTGCATTTTTCCGGTACTTTCAAGCAGCTTGTCTAGAGATGCAAGGGAAGAAGAAGGAGGCCATAGATTTATATATAAATGTTCCAAACCTATCTGTACGAAAATTTGGTGGTCGCACTATACTTGTGGAACAGTATGTCACACGCAAAACAAAGAACTATATCGCAAAAAATTTTGAAAATACATTATTACCGGGTTTGGAAATTCTGCTCATATGGAATAGTTTTGCGTGTATGAAGAAAGAAGATTTGATTCGTTGTTTAGATATAGTTAATTCGAAAATAGAATCTATAAGTAAGATCGATAAACAAAATCCAGTCGATTCACAATGTATGCTTCGTCTTATCAAGGGTTCGATATTGAACCAGCTTCATAAATTCCCAGAGGCTAGTCAATGTTTCAGTTGGATTTTTGATCATAATGACGACATTGTCGACGATAAATTTATTGAGCCATTTGCTTATTGGGAAATGGGAGTAGCTGCGTTTTTAAAAGGTCATTTAGAAAAGGCTAAATTGTCATGGGAGGAAGCTGCTAATTTCAATGGATATGAATTTGAATTTAGGTATATTGTTATATATTTCTTATTGGGGGTTTTTTTTAATAGAGGTGAAATGTTTACTAACATAGTTTTTTATTTTAGACTTGCGATGCGTTTACATTTATCCTTAATGAAAGTAAATGACATGCTCCCCGAAAAAAAGAAAAAGTCGAAAATTTTTATATAATTATTTATTAAATTTTATATAATCTTGAATATGGAAATAACTTTACTTATTAATGGATAATATATTATAGATCTGGATGTTAGCAGTCGGTTCGATCGATTTTGTGCTCTGGAAGGTAAAAAACCGAAACTGCAAACATTCATAATTAAATTTTAATATAATAAAAGAAATTATAATTATTTTGATTGTTGAAATATTCTCTTAGATTTGAGAATTAAAATAAATTATAATAGATTTTCGCTGTTGCTGAAATTGCAGTCATTGTTGATGATTTCTATTTCCAAGATATCACCAAAGAAGATTTTAAAAAGAATAACTTTTGGTCAAAGTTTTTATAATAAAAAAATTGTGGTTAACTAAGAGAGAATCTTTTCTGCAGATAGCAAAACCAATTTATAATATTATTTTACAATGTTTATTTTAGATGATAAATTTTCTTAAAATATATGATTATTATATATGATTATTAAATTTTGAATAAAGTAGAAACATCCACTTAAATTTAAACTAATTAATACATTTTATATAAATTAAACTATATTAATATTTTTAATTAAAAATTAAAAGTTTTAAATTCTTTTTAAATACCATCTTATATATCTAATTTCTTAAATACCAATAATTTATTTATTAATACAATTTTCATATACAATATACAAAATTTTTTAAATTGATTTAAGAAATAATAGTATACAAATAATTTTATTTTAATTGTAAATACTGTTTAATATTAATTTGCTTAATATTTTAAGATATATACTAAATATATATAAATTTAATATAAATATTAAATATTAAAATATGTTAATAAAAATTAAAATTTAAAATACTATCTTTTTTATTATATTTTTTTATAAAAATTAATATATTAAATTAAATTATTAGTTATTATAAAATAAATTAATATAATTAATAAATTATAATAATTAAAATATGAATATTTTTTCTATACTAGAGATACTATTATCCTTTTCTAAAAATATGCTAATACCTAATTCTAACTAATCCTATTTAACCCTAATCCTAACTCTAATTATAATAAATAGATATGTGTAATAAATAAAATTTCACACACTTAAAAAAAAACTAAGTTCCCTAAATAAATAGTAAAAATAGAAATTTAAGAGGTATGATATGATAAGATACAAAGGGAAAATATATATATCTATAGATATAGTTATAATATACTGTAAAATATTTATATAATATTATATATTATAGATTTTTTTTTAACTTAATTTTTAAATAAATAATATATTAAATTATTTTGATAAATCTTATAATCAGCTAATAATAATATGATTAATTAATATAATATAATATATAAATGTTTAACATATTAAAACATATTTAATATAATTAATATAATTGATATATTAAACATATTTAATACTCTTAATATATTTTATATAATAATATTATTCTATGTAAAATAAAGTATAAATTAATTATAATAAAAATAGCTATTAATTATTATAAATATTTCTTATGATTTATATTAATAGCTATATATCCTTTATTTTTATTACTATATATATTTTCTTTAATTATTTATTATTATACATATCCTTTTAAAATATCTATTGTTATATATATCTTTTTTAATTTAATCTAATAATTATGCATTTCTTATCTTAATCAATTGAGTATTTTTTTTTATTTTATAATTAATTATATTTTATTTTATTTTTATTTTATTCTTTTAATATTATTATTCTATTATTTTTTATTTTAATAAATTACTTTTTTTAACTTATAATTCTATATAAATTCTATTTAAAAAGTACTTAAAATCATTATAAACTATATAAAACTTTAAAAAATATATTATAATACTAATCAAATTTATTTAATATATTATATAATTTTAAAATAATTAATTTTTAAATACTATATCTAATTGTTATAATTTGTAAAAATTGTATATTAATAATATTATTAATTTTTATATTTAAGTAAACTATATAAATTACTCTTTTATTTTGTTATTTAAAAATTAAATTATTTATTAAATTTAAAGGAAAATTTATATATTAGTTAAAATTAAATATTTTTTATTAAAATCAAATATTTAATATTAAAAATTAGGCAATTTCTATTTATACACAAGTGTATTATATATAGTCATGTGATACAGCTAACTTTAACATTACTTTTACCAATATAAAGAAATTAAAAAATTATCTATATGATGTCTATATGATGGTTAATAAGTGATAAATAAGAATTTTTCACTAAAAAATTTTTGTTTTTGAAATAAATAGTAAAAACTAAAAACAGAGGGATATGACGTTAATGACAAATATATATTATATGATATAAGTATATACACTTTGTATAAACTTAGAATTTTCTAAAAATTAATATATCAAATTCTTTTTATATTAAAATCTTTATAAATTATATATTTTATTAAATTTTAAAATAATTTAAATTTATATATTTTTAAAAAATTATAAATTAAAATCAAATATTTATATATATTTAATAATATAATTTAAAAAATAAACTTAATTAAAAAGTAATAATTTTATAATAATTTTATAATATATTATAATTAAAATTATAAAAATTTTATAAAATTTTATAGGCAACTTATATTTGTATATAGGTAAATTATATATAAGTTATATAATATAACTGGTATTAATATTATTTTTCGCTAATATTAAAAAATTAAGAAATTAATTATGTAATAAATTTAGTATAATGAATAATAAATTTTTATTAAAAAAATTCTAAGTTTTCTAAAATAAATAATATAAATTAAAGGAAAAAGTATGTGACAATAGTGATAAATATATCTGTCATATGATCTAAGTATATATATCTTGTATAAATTTAGAAATTTTAGTTTTATATTATTCGTTTAACAATTTTGTAAACAAATTTGATTATAATTTAAAAAATTAATTGTTAATCATAAAAAAATAAAAATTAATAGTATTATCATGAAATTTTCTAATTTAGGTTAGTTATATCCTTAAATATTTATTTAAGATAACTATTACTATGATTAAAATGTTAGAATTTGTCTAACTCTTAACTTTATTAAATTTATATATAATTTAATAAATTCATTAAGTATGAAAACTTAAAAAATAAAATTACAAATAATTTTAATTAAAGAACTTAAATGATAAATTTAATTATAAATTCTATATTAAACTATATGAAGATACAAAAAACAGAAAATTATAAATTTTAATTAATTTCTTTATTATAATATTAAAACTCATACTTGCAAAAGAATTAATTTATAATATACAATAGCGGTTATAAGTATCTGACCCCTCATAATTCTTAAAATTAATTAATAATATCTATTAAATTTTTTTTAAAATTTAAGTTTAATACTAACCTTAATAATTTGTAAAATTATAGATTTATATTATGTATAATTTAGAAGTTAGATGATCAGTAGATTTTATATTTCAAAAAAAAAATAACTTTTTTATATGTAAATAATTTCATTTTTTATTATTTAACATCTAAACTCCTTAAATATATAGATTTTTTTTTAATATATTAATT